CATAATTGATAGAAACAAAAGTCACGACACCAATATCAATCTCACACGACAATCCACCCTTTTTTAATCAACATCCAATCCCCAAAATCCTTAATAAACAAAATCTATCCCTCGATAGAATGTTTTCAATCGAAACAATAGGCACACATCACTCCCAGGAGAAATAAGAAAGTATCAAATACGAAAGAAGCGCCACCTATCCATTTGTCTCCTGTATTAGAGAAGAGAATGGGCAAACACTCTATACAAAGTTATATCAACCTAGACGAATCAGGATTTAATATCCACGCAAAGAAGCGTAACATTACCTTCTAAACAATCAGCTCGATCTATTTGACGATGTGTTTTTCCTCTGATCGTCACGTATCGCTCGTTTTTCTCGAAATAACAAGATGTAGTAGTGATGGTTTCGAAGCTTTCCAATTCGTCGGAATATCTGGTCCTAAGATCATCTTCTGAATTAATCCGTTACATTTAGATGATGAATCCCATTTTCACTCGTTGTATATGATCTTTTACAAGATGGACCATTTTTCGACCACTTTGTAGAATAGTGTAGAACCACTTAACTATAATACTTTTTTGATTAATCTTTTTGAAATGTTATTTTAAATGTAAACAGAAAGATAAAAATAATTTTTAAATCCACGAGTTACTTTTTTAAGGTTATTGAAAATTTTCACTACAATTCACTTAACACTTAACAAGTTATATTCTCTACACATTTTCAATTATATGAATTTGCGAAAATTATTCTTCGATCACAAACACAAATCGAATTCACAAATACACAAGAATCGTCTATCTTCTATACGCTATATATTTCCAATGTACCATATTTGACGCCATTGCAGCGTAAACCTCGTACCACCCCCGCAATCCAATACAGAAGAGTTGGCGGCGTGGAACGAGTTTGAAACGGGTCACCACGGTGAAATTGGCTCGATATCGTAGAGTGGTGGCACGATAACGCGAGCATAATTGCATTGCACGCGAGTTCAGCCGCGGACGAGCATAATCCACCTACCATTTCCACCCCCGCAATCGGCGCGATGGGAGATCCGGTGAAATCACAGAGGGTGGAGGCGGGGGTGGCGTATGAATGGCCGTCTCCGTGACTCGCGTATAATCTATGTGTATTCTACTATCTGTGTGTACGTTTAGGAAACAAGTTTTCATAGTTGTGCGAGGCAAAAGCGACAGACAGACTATACGTGTTCCCTCTTCTCTTCTATAATTGCAACCAACCCTCTTTTGTTTCTCTTTTGTTCCTCCTTCTCCTCTTCTTCTTTGCGACGAATCTCTCTTGTTTTCATCTTCTTCTACCGTGTTTTTTTTCTTCTTTCTCTCGCAAGAAGTCTTCGTATGTTATTTACCGTATTCTTCCCGTTTTTACTTTTTCCTTCTCTTTATAATAAATCTTTCTCACCTCTCTCTTCTATTTCGTTTCGCCGCGCTCTCCCTTCTCATTCTTCCTTTTTCTTTCTCTCTCTCTCTTGCTTTTTTTCTTACTCTTGTCTCTTCTGCATTCTTCTCCTTTCCTCTCTTTCTTATTTCTCTCTTATTTCTTCCACCAAATTCCACTCTTTCCCTCATCCCACCGCGTTCTTTCTTTCCTCCTCTATTTGCAATGAGTCCCTCTCGCACCTCGCCTCTCTCACCTCGTCTTCCTCACGCCTCACTACACGCCTGCACCACCGTTCAGTTTCCACGTTCCACAGACAATCCAATTTATACGTCGGATTATTCGAGGGGTGGCTTCGAACCACCCCACCCCAAACCCGGTTCCAGCCACCATCATCCCTGCTGCTCTCATCCCTTCCATCTATGAATCGCGGAATGCTTGGCTCCGAGAGGAGAGATATACTTTCTCTCTCTTTCTCTATATGAAAGACTAAACATGGCCGATTTCCAGCTTCGACTTTTGCCGCCAGCTGTGCCCGATGAAACAGTTGCAGGATCTTTGAAGAGGATCTCTGTAAAGAAGGAAGAGATGAAGAAAAGTTAGATCAAGAAATCATTGACATTTTTTTTTTATGTTTTATTTCTCAAATATTCCTTGCATGAAAAATATCAATCGATCAAACGTAAGAAATATAAAAATCAAATTTCACCCCCTCCCTTTAAAAAAAAAGGGGAAAATATTCAGCTCGATACAATTTTTTAACTTTTAATCTTTCCTATGGTTATTAAAGTGTATTACTTTTTTTTTTTTTTCTTTTTTAATAACTTAATCAAACTTTCCTCGCGCGGAATATAAATTGACCACTTGCCACCGATATTTAACGCGTCACCCCCAAAAACTTTTTCCCCAGAAATTTTAATATTTCACTCGAACTTTCGATCACCTTAACACGAGTGGACGTTCCAAACTTTCCAAACTTTCCACGAAATCGTTTCCCATCCACTTCCACCCCGCCATCCCCTCCACAACAACTACTTTACACCCAGGATCGCGCAACACCGTATTTCCGCGATTTTGTCCAGATTCGTCGCCGATTCGAATAAATTATTTACGACGATACGTGGACGGCGGCGGAGTAATACCCCCTTATCGGCCATTATCCTATAAAACGTGCATGTTTATAGACTACCGCCGACATTATGACACGTCGCCCCTGCGCCCTTACTTCCTCTTCCTCCTCCTCCTCTTCCGTCGCGTTCACGCCTCAATCCTCGCAACATTTTATCGTTCACTGCCCGCATTTTTTCCATTTCTAAATCTATTTTTTTTTTTTCTATAAATGAAATTAAAATTTTGTAACAATATGCGGCGACGAGATAATTAAAAGAGACGAAAGAGACAGGCAGAATTTTATTTTATACGGATCTTGGAGAGATGTGAATTGTAAATAAAATCGTACTATTTTCTCGACTAGCCCATATCCCCATAATATGTAAATCGAATACCGATCGATAGATGTCGGGGTTATCGACTTCTGTTCTACCGTTCGAGCAAACATGTTTGGAAACGAAAGAATCGTGCAACTTATATCCACGATACATCCATAACATCGAAGTTGCATAAATAAGAGGCTACAGGGATAAAATCCTGAGAGAGAGAGAGAGAGAGAAATCCGCTTCTGGGATCAATTTTCGATTAACGGCTTGAGGCAGAGTCAAATTTACGATGCTTCTTCTTCTTCTTTGCTTTGCTTGCCGAGAGGAATGAGGAATTTTTTTTTTACAGAAGTTTCCACTTTTTTCTACATTTCTTGCGTTACCTGAGAGATGTTCCTCAGCTGTGACGAGATGAAGCTGCGTGTTACGGGGATTATTGATCGTGGCTTCGTGGCCGCGTTTGCGGTAGCTCAAGAAACGGCCCCGCTAGTTTCCACAGATTCTCGTGGAATAAATATCGGATCGAAATCGAGCTCGTATTTACGAGCAGTTTTTATTTATACTCGATGATACTCGGGCAGCGATTTTCTTATTTTCAAAATGATGTATATTTTTCGATTGGAATTGCCTGATGGAGCCTGTCAACGATGTGACGAGTGGAACGTTAACGGATCGAAGGGAAAAATATATTTGCAGAGCCAATATTTTCAATAATGAGCGTAAGGAAAAATAAAAATTGCATCGAAATAAATTAAAATCTTCCAGAATTCTTTCAAAAATTCTTAAATATCTTTTAAACGAATCGAAAAAATGAAATTCGAGTATTCTCGCTTCAAAGTGAATGAAAGGGATCGTGGAGAATTGGTCGAAGGAATTACTTTAAAAACGCAATTTACGCATTCACACACGATGACTGATAAATCCTCGATAACGCCGTCTCGTTTATCTAGAATCCATTTTTCTTGGATGGATGGATCGATGGAAAGATTAAATTATCTTCGACTGCTTATCGTTAATTTTGAATTTAAATTTGGACTTACTTATTTTGGATTCATATTAAATAATCGTTGAAATAACTGGTTTCAAAATAAATTTTAAACAGATAGACAAATATTAGATTATAATTTCATATATTTCACGCTCTGAGTGAAACAAAAATGTAACATTTCGTTTCCCGTGCATGCGTTAATTATTTCGCAATTATATCTATAAAATGAAATTACGATACTATCCTATGTATTTTCGAATAATCGCCACAGATACGAACTAAATCATAACCTTACATCCAAATTCCAATAATAAAATTCGCCTAACAATATCATTCCTCCATTTTCTAATTCGAGATAACTTTCAAATTTATCCTATCCTATCTGAAAATATATATAAAAGCAATTCTCACATTCATCGATGAGAAGAGATGATAGAGAAAAGGAGAAAAATTTATTTAATTATCTCGAAAGAGCAATATGAATCGTCCGCCGGAAGAGAAATATTCCAAGACGCATCCCAAAGTGTATACCATCGAGAAAGAAATTATCGTTTATAATGTCGCCAGTGTCGTTCACGACAATGCTAATTATCGAGTTTTATTGGCTACCGTGAGCAACTCGGACATTTTCCGTGAGAGAAAGGAGGGAAGGAAGGAAGGAAGGCAACAAGATAAAGCACGCGGCTCGATAATCAGCCAGTTTCGAGTTCATTATCATTGTTGATCGTCGTTGTTGGCCGGGGATGATTTATACCGAGTTAATTAATTCCATGCACCGAGAAATGTTCGCACTCTCGTCACGAACTTTCGTTTGCACAAATAATATTTGCGCTTACGAATCTGTAAATATTCGTGTAAATAAAGTGTACGTTGTTAAGAATGATAATTTTTATGTAATAATTACCTTGATCAGGTTTGCAATAAAATAACGTACAAAATAACGAAAATATTTATAAATAATTCCCCTCTCGTTCCTTTCTTAGTTGGAAAAGAACAGTTTCAAAATTTAAATTAAAATCATGCTTTCTCGTATATCACGAGTTCGAACAATCAAGGAAATTCACAAAGTTATATCTCAATTTTGGAGGATATATTAGGAGAAGCAATATCTATATAATATTCGATTCCAATAAAAATTCGCGGAAAAATCTAACGAATGATATGAACCTACGAGAAATTTTAGAGAAACGAAAAAAAGAGTTACCTCGTTTAGAGAGGCAAAATCTAATGATTCAATTCTGATAAAAATTCGCTAATAAAATTATTGGTTCCCCTCGAAAAGAAAAAAAAAGGAAAAATATCTCGTGATACCTGTGCACGAGAAGTTAACAGGCATGGCGCGCACCGAAAATGGCAGCTGTCTCAATGGCGGCGTAACAGAACTGAGGCGGAACGTGCGTCGCGAGAGAAGCGTTCGAAACAAAGCGTGTTTCCAAACATCGCGGCCTCATACGAAAATCGTTCATAGGAGAACGTGTGTAAATAATACGCACGGATATACGAATATAAGCGTTGACACGGATCCCCCCCACCCTCCCTTCCCCATTGTCGATTGTTTGGCAATGATT